CTCACACAATAGCCTCCATCTGTTAGCCCCTTTAACTTTCCCTTAGCTGTCCTCTGGGGGTTCTGGGTCTGTAGGCGGAGGAAACCGCAGTGACTGTGCCGCTGCTCCTGTGACTCCCACAGATTGGAATAAATGCTTTAAATGAGGGCAGTGGTGGAACGATTTGGGTGGAAACTCCAAAGAACAGGAAATAAGAAACAGTTTTTTGAGGAATGAAGTGTTATGGAACAAGAGACTCAGTAAAGGGCTGGATGATGGGGTCAGAGTGAAGGGGTGGGAGTGTGGGTGGAAGTTGCATGGATGGAAATGAAATGATAGCAGGAGCGGGGGGGGGGGCACAGGCCACTCGTAGTCCGTATGTTTGAGTCTGTGGTTCAGGTTGAGCACGTGCCAGAGGTTGTGGCAAAAATGGCTGAGGAAATCTATCAGACGAGTGCATTAAAATGCTAAGGTAGAATCAAAGTGCCGTCCGTAACACTTCCCACTGACGCTGTCACGTCAGTGCTTTTAGCTCTTAGCCGTAGGAGCAGTAATAACTGGATTATCCCTGTGTTTTGTTTGGCAGGTCTGGTGGTGTAGCCCGGATGGTTGGTCAGTACAAACTGGGCAGATTACTGTTTGCAGAAAGGAGATTTAGCCTCGTTTGGAGCGTTTGATACGTTAATTAAAGTGGATTTTGGGAAAATGGGATGGGCTGCGAGGCGAACCCGGACCTCAGCGAAGCCAGTAGCTCATCTGTTGGCACGGTTACGGTACGTGTTGGGCCTGATTGTATGTTTTAATGCCCACGTCCTTATAATGAAGTGGGGACGGCTCTCAGGTTTTTATAATCAGGAAATACTTTTACATCATATAAGAATAATATTCCATAATAACGGCTGTTTATTAGAAGAGGTCGTCCTGGCTCTCAGGCCAATTTCCTTGTTCTATTCAAAACGCAGCGAGAGCATGTTGACATGAGTACTGTTCTGTGTACTTCAGGGATCAGTACTGGGCCTGGTAGTTTATTCAAATACTCAGCCACTGCAGTTCAGTGTCTGAATTCTCTCCTGGGTTGTTTATTTAAGTAGATCAAAACTGTCAGTGGTTCAGAGGAGTTTTAGCGTCAGGGACAGAGAGAGTCACTGCAGGATCCGCTGTTACGACACGAGCAATTTACCGAAACGCCTGAAGTCGCTCCACCGCACTGAATACACCGACGCCTCGTCTCAGGTGGATTGATGAGGCCTTTCCATCCGACTGAGTCATGACCTTGTTGTTGAGACTTATTTAACCAACATTGTGTTTCCTTATTTGTTTATGAAAACAGTTCTGCGCAGTTGAAATGACACTGTTTGCTGGAAACCAATCACAGGTCAAGAGAATATTTAGGAAGTAGCCATTAACTGTTGGTTGTGTTATTAACTGCCCTGCGTGAGGTTAAACCTGAAGTTAAAGCCAAACAAATACTTTGTTTCACCCTTAGTTTTATAGTTTGAGAATGTTTTTGATTATCACAGAGTAATTGTATTACACCGTGTGTTTGTTCATCGCATATTTACTGAACTTCTACCAAAGAAGTACAGTATTAGTATTGGTATGAAGTACACAAATTAAAATGTTAGTACTGGTATTGGTGTGAAATCATTGCCTTAGTTTATAATGATAGTGTGTGTTGTTGGATGAAGAACTGAATATCAAACATCTATCATCCTCTGATGCGCAGCAGCAGTAATCCTTAATGACACGCTGCTTTTTTCTCCTGCACCACGAGCCACATCTGATCCTGTCATGTTGTGAAATGGCTTTGTCTGCAGCAGGTAATGTGCACAGGTCAATCCGCAGCAGCATATTGACTTTTTTTTTTTGTAAACCATCGTAGCTTTCAGCCAGCACAGCTAAAATAAAAGTTGGTCAGTACCGTGGGCCGGGTGAAGTCAATAAATATGAGACGTACAGTAGGAGCAGGTGGC